CTCCAGCAAAAGACCAAAACCAGAAAGTTTGAGCAGTGTGTCATTTATTTAGTTTTGCTCTCAGGTGATAGGCGTCCTGTCGTGGTCCCCCGCAAGTCTTTTTATCCAGCTTTATGAATTATATTTTTTTTCTGTAGTAAAACGCCCTGTGCATCTCTCACTTTTCTGAAAGTACACCTCAAATTTCACCTTGGCAGCGGTGCTGCCCAGGAGCAAAAGAAATGGAAAACATTCATTTTCTCAGCTTTCCACTGAGAGGGGAGAAGGAAATGATGCAGGGTGAGAGAGAGGTGCTTAAGTCGTGGGTGAGCGCACGTGTGTGTGACTGTAACCGCGTAGGCAGGTGGCTTTGTGTTTGTGTGTCTGCGTACTGGGAGGGAAGACAGAATGCTGCAATTTAATCGATCTGCACGTTTGAAAGTTATCTTCTTAATTCTAAGGACTTCTTGAGCTCATGTTGAATACTGAACAGTGAAGAGTGAAGCCAAAGGAGGGTTAGATTAAAAAAAAAAAAACGGAGACAAGTGAACATGACAACTTAAGACGAAGCAGGCGGGAGGTGAGAAAAGCTTGAGGGAAGATGCTGAAATGAAGGAGAAGTCAAGTGCGAAGCTGTAGAAGATTAGTGAGCTGCAGCTACACAACGGTGACGCTGAAGGAGACGCGAGGAGGAGGAGGTTGTTTTGGAACAGGAGCTCCTGGAGAGGTGAAAGATGGAGGCTGGCAGGGTGGAGGAAAAAACACATGAAATGAAGAAAATATGGGCGTGAAAAACACAAGCTGCTCGCAGCAGGCGATGTCTGACAGACTGTTATGCCATCCCCACCGCAAACCCCCCACCCTCGCCAACACTTGTAATACCTGTCGAGGCGTGAGCGTGTGAGAGCAAGCCGTCTTTTACTTGTACTGCTTTTACTACTTTGCCTCGTGTCCTTGTAAGAACATCCTTCAAAGTGGAGGTATCAGGTTGTCGTTATGTCCGCGAGGGGATACTTACTGTGCCATAAATGAGCTTTAATTAGTCTCAGACCTTTGCTGACCTCTAGCATCTTTTGAGGAATTGGGACTACATCAACGAATCTCTGGCCACACGTGTCTCTGCGATATACACAGGGAAAGTCATTTCACAGCAGGGATAGCAAAGTAGGTGAGAGCAAAGGTTCAACAAAAACATCAAATGAGGCAGCGACACATGAGGGCGATGTAATGCGTCGGTGTTACTTTTCATGGCAATTTATTATTCTGATTGAAAACAGACGTTTGTTAAATTGATTTGTCACAATGCCACTGTTTAACTCGGTATCACTCGTCCCAAAGAGCCAATTGAGCACCTTTTTCTAAAACACTTGACTTTATTTGTATGTACTTGGAATAAAATTCATAATAATACATTTCCTTGCATATGAGAAGTTAGCTAACAGTTAGCATCTTGTAAAATCTAGCATTAGCAAAAAAAAACCCATTTCATTATAGTTAAATTTAATTTACTTTATACTTAATTTAAAGCGACAGCGTTGATTTGTGAGGAATTTGTTTACTCTTCTCTCTGAAGTTGGCGTAATCGGGTCGTTAATTGATGACGTGACGAATCCTACTTCCGGGCCTAAAGTAGTCTGCGTTTAATATGGCTTTTGTGTTGTTAACATGTTTAATATTATGTATTTTCTTCTATTTAATCTCAAAAAGCTCCTAAAACAGTCAGTGATCCCTGTTGACCTCCCTCGGCTTTTATTACCGCTAATCATTTATTTAAGCTCAGTTTTTAAAACCTTAGGATGTAACTACAGCCCAGCCCATGCAGCAGTATATGAATGACTAACCTCGTATTGTGGATGGATTATCTCAGTTGTTCTCCTGGCTGAAGTTTGGTCCTTTTACAGCATCCTGCCATGCGATTACTTGTTTATATTATGCTAACATAGCTGTGTCGCTAGCGGTCACGTAGCACATCATTATATACCAGCTAGCCAAACTTCAGTAACCCTACAAACGTCACTGCTGTTTAGTTTTCTGTCTTCATTTATGTTGGAAGTGATAACAGAGCTGTACGTTTTAATTTGTTTCCAAAACCCCGCAGTCAGGACATGTTATATTGTATTTAGATAGAAGCTAGCGAGCTAACTCCCTGCTAACTTCTAACTCCGTTAAATGTCATAAATTCCGTTTTCATGGATGCCTGGATGTTAAACTCAATTGTTACACCTGGTAGAGCAGAACGCTGATCATTTTATTAAAGATGAAAGACTTTAGACAGTTTTTCAACTCTCAGTAATGCCATAGTGATCGTTTGATATATGGACCTGCAGCGGAGTTTAGACCCAGACACGGCTAGTGACGTCAGACTTAACGACCGGATTGACTATTTAACTTGGGTTTTGCTTTTTAAGCTAAGCTAGGCTAATTGCCTTGTGACTTCACCTTCGTACTGAACAGACAGACCTTAAAGTAGCATCCTCCGGCTGAGCTAACCGTTAGAAAGCCAACATTATTTCCCCTAAAACAATTTCTTTATTTTACTTTTCAGCCTGATGTGTTATTTGAATGGAAGCTAATTGTATAAGAAACACTTCTTTTATGCTAAGGTTAGCTTTAAGCTTACAGTCAAACAGAAAGACTAAACATCTGTGTGTCTTCCACTGTTCGCCTCTCATAAACCAACATCTGGAAGTAAAAGGGAGTACTAAACATTTTAAACCCAAAAGAGGAGTGCAGTCAGGCCTGTGCACATTTCCTTCCTACAACGCTCTGCATAATATATCTGACATTTACATGAGCAGTGCAGAACTTGCCGCCGCTGAGGCTCTAGGCAGCCTCTGTAAACATCGAGAGCATGCACGCCCCGGACATCACGTTGCATTTGAAAATGTGCAGCGGCCGCACAATAAAGTACCCTTGTCGTTGTCAGTGTACAGTATGTGGCCGTCGGCGCATCTGACCCAAGGAGCCCCGTCAGACTGACTGAAAGCCCTCTTCGTCTGTCACCATGGTGATCCGCAGGCTAAAACCGAGGAGTCGCTCTTCTAGCAGTTTGAAATTCATCTTCAGTTTGTAGCAGTCAGAAGTCATCTGTGCTTAAATAAGAAGTTAAAATGACACTGAATGTGAGCTTGCATTTTAAATACTGTGGGGTGTGTTTTCACTACATCTAGTCGTTGAAGGTTTACAAAAGATGTCTCTCACATGTGTCTGTATCCCACAGTGACCTCTTTAAAACACTTACTTTGTCACATTAGCAATTTAAAACCCAGCGGCAAAGTGTAGCTCACTAAAGTACACGCAAGTACTGTTCCTAAGTACAAATTTATATTTAATACTTCTACAGCACTTCGTGTCAGAGCGAGATACTGTACTGTTTACACTGGTTCAAGTTTACCATCAGCCTTCATCTGTCAGGCTTCAAAATGGTTGATTGACTAGGCAGTACTTCCATCCTTTCACCTGTGCTCCTAACCTTAATAATTAAATAAAAAAAATATTATACATTATTATTGATTTTTTAATGTGAAATTATTATTAGCATATTTATTAGCTTTGTGTTATTAATTCCCTGACATGTCCAAAACAGGCCATGTTGCTTCCCTCAACACTCCTGCTAAGCCAACTTTCTTCCGACTGACTGATTGGCTTTGAACAGGTAGGTGTGATTGCTGCGCTCTCCACAGACGACAGCAGGTTCACACCAAGCACAGAAGTGAAAGAGTCTGGAGATGCCGTGATGCCGCCTGCAGCATAACCCAGCATGACTGGGTTGGGGGAAGCCAGTTGAGCTGTATCGTGCTAATCTGAGCATACATCCTATTAAAGGGGACTTCACGCCTCCCTCGTGGAGTCTGTTTGGTCAGAAAGGCTCTGTCAGTGCTCCTACTGCTCCTGTTTACACAAAGGAGCAGACACTGGTCCTGCTGATGGGTTTGATGCCCTTCTGCGGTCATGTCCAGCTCTCCGCGCCTGACTGTATAGCCTCCATAGCATTAAGACAAAGCGAACCTCCCTGCAGTCATACATATTTATGTGCCGATCGCTTTTGGGGGTTGTCTTGTTTCCTCTGAAAAGCGATTTACAGGTGAAGTGGTTTCAGTGGTTTCTCCTTCCTAACAATAAAGACTGATACCCCTGAACTTTACCTGAGCATGTTCTTTACCCTCGTGATCAAGTTGTAGTTATATTTTTTTGAGCAGTCTATGATCATTGTAACTCTAGCAGTGACTTTTCTGGTCTTGCTCTCTCACAGCTACGTCTACGACCCCTCAGCTCCAGTGGACATGAGGAAGAGCGACTCCACAGGCAGCTCGCTCTACCAGCCCCATCGCCGCCCGGGCGGGGCCCCAAACAGGGACCTATATGGTGATGCCAAGCAGAAGCATGGCTTTCATAACATGGCTTACAGCAAGTCCAATGAGAGCACACTAAAACTAGAAGTTGACAACAACCATGTCAACCAAAGACTGCACCGTCAGGGGAGTATACCACCGACAGAGGGAGGGCTCTACATCATCCAGCCACAAGGGGTGGGGCAGCAATGGATGACGCAGGAAAAAGGTCTGAGCCAGGTGCCCGTGTACCCCAGCGTAGAGAATTACGAGATCCAGAGGAGCCAAGCGACGAGTAACGGGTGGACAAGCTCCGAGCACCGGCTCAGCAGCACCGAGCTTTCAGCAGACGAGATAGACGAGGGTGTGGGAGGGACCCCGGAGTACCTGTGTGACACGGGGGACGAGGGCAGCGTCTTGTCAGTGGACATCCAAACCAGCAACACCAGCTTGTCCTCAGGGGGCACGAGGGACGAGCTCGCGCTGACAAAGACTCCCGACGTCTCCACGATGGAGAGCGGGATCTCGGTGTCGAAGAGCGAGGACGAGGAGCAGGAGGTGCAGAGCATCACGGACTCGATGGTGGCAGAGGCTCTCGCTGCTCTGGAGGCCGCCACGGCAGGAGAGGACTATGAGTGAAGGGCGAATGCGCTCACCCACCACATAAAAAACTCTGAGGACTCAAAAGAGCATCAAAACCACGATGAGACGTTGCCACGCTTCTGGAGAATAACGCTCACATCTAAGAACACGGGAATGAATGGAAACTCTGTTTACAACAAAGATATATTTTTGAACCCTTGGATATTTTTTAAGCTGTGGTTATACTGACAGAAGATAATGTGTGCCTTGTGAAGGAGGCTACATTTCCAAAGCTTCAAGTTTTGCATGAAGCCACAACCAAAGAGACGTCAGAGTGCACGCTGAGTTTGACCTGCAGTGCACCCAACACTCCGCACAGTCCCAATAAGCCTGGATGTGCTCGTCCACACACACACACACACACACACACACACACACACACACACACACTTAGCGATACACCACATGTTGCTTTTATCATGTTTGGATCTTAGTGTTTCTTCTGCAAACACAGTCCCTGCCATAGGCTGTACAGGAACCGAGCACGTGGATAAGGAGAGGTCATCATGGTTTAGTTCCTTATATTTTGTTCTGCTGTTATTTATAAAATCGTACTGCTTTCTAAAATTGATCTACTGAATATTCCGTAAATGAAGGATGAGGAGCTGTCTTTTAATCGAGGCTTATTCACTCGCTGATCGTCGCTATTATGCACGTTATGACTGTGTGAAAACATTTCATAAACAAGACCATTTATTCTAGTCAATGTGAATGTAAGATCAGCTAAGGTCAAACTGCTGCTGAGTGAACCTCAGAGGGGTCATAGCTTCACCCTCTTAGCTTTTTACTTTTAATTTTTATTCCACTTTAAGGCTTCTCGTCCAGCCTGTGACGTTAGCTCAGCTCGGTGATGACCTAACTGAGGCTGGGCGGCAGTACGGAGTGCTTTTTTAACGCCAGCCTCCCCCGTGGCTGCTCAGTGTTCACCATAGCTCCATAACCAAGTACACGCTTCTGTCTCTATTCACTGAATCTCATACAAATGTAAGCCAAATCCAGCTCTCGAAGGTCTTATAGCTATCTTTATCAGTACTTTGGTTTTGGAACCACACTCAAGTAATGTTGATTAATCACAAATAATAAATAAGCTGTTCTGATCAGTTGTGTTTTAATTTTATTTTCCCTATTTGCCCCCATTTCAGTCATGGTTTGGCTGCCAAATGATTTCTATTTGTTTGTATTGTAAATTAAAATAAAAGTACTTGAAAAATTGTGTCTAATTTGTGTATCTTGTGGATTTAACGCTACACTTGACAGCTAGTTGAAAGAGGACACAGTCATAAGATTTTATCTTTCTCTCACTGAGTTTTTGGACCTGGAGAGATCTGCGTGTTGATTGAACGTTTATAGAATTATAAACTAAACGAGTTCAGTACTCGAACTTCTTGTAATCGCTACGTTAAGAACAATGTAAAATGGATATTCAGTATTTAAAGTTTCACAACTTCCTGTTGCAGACATTAAATTTTAAAGAATACAAACAAATAACTGCTACTTTAATGTGCCTGAATTAAAGCCCCGCTTGCACTCAGCGTGCTGGCAGTTTAATAAAGGATAAATATTCCGCTACAGTAGATTCCTACATGTCAAAGTAAGCCTCTGCTTTCCTGTGGAGGCCTCATCTGTTGGCTGCTTCTCCTTGACCTGCATCTGCAGATCTCTGGACAGAGAAAAAACCAAACGCTACTGAGATTAGCAGCAATCAGACTTTTGGACTTTGAGTGAATGAATGTCTGAAAATGACTCTGCTGTGTTCTCCAAAAGGTTGATTCTGTTCATCTGGACGTAGCGTTTTCAGTGGGAGAAACGTTTCGTCACTCATCCAAGTGACTTCTTCAGTCTCAGCTGACTGCAGGTTTCCCCAACCTTATAAACAGTACATTTGCATAATGACTGAAAGCAGCCCACTGAAGGAACAAAATCTCATGACCATTGATGATCAACAACTACTGATCAATGGCCATGAGTAAAACAGGAATAAAACGGAGTCAGTCTGACATAGGCACTTGTCAACCGTGCATTTATATAGGAATATAAGTTGTGCTCATCAGTGTCGACTGCCTCAGATTGATTGCAGCATGTTGGTAATCTGGCTGTTTATAAATTATTCTGCAGTTATTTGTAGATCTTCTCCAATGTGATTGCAGACAGGACCCCACAGGTTGCCTCCCACCTCTCGATGGGTGTCCTGGTCTAGCAATCAAAAGCAGTTGCAAAGAGGACTGATGCATACTGGACCTGTGAAACTTTTTGTTGTTGTTGTCGTATGTAAAAGAAATTAAACACACACACGGGGAAACCACCATTTCTGTCCTAGTCACAAGGAAGTTGCCGTCCTATTTTTAGTCTAGTGTGACAAGGCGTGATCTAACTTTTACATAGAAATCTATGCAAATGTGTGATGAGCACTAGCTTTTTGTCCCCGTGATGATTCGGAGCACTAAAAACAAGTTATTTTTATTTAATTCCACATCCTGACTGTAGTGGAAGGAACTGTAATTTCACTTTTAGGGTCTAGTATTCAAAAGTTGTAAATGAATAGTCCAGTGGCTGTAATTGTACAGGAGTAACACAAGTAGCACAGCTCCTGTAAGTAACCCAGCAGGTTTCTAACTATGATGTTAAAAACTGCTCTGCTGGGGACCGACAGTTCAAACAGCTCAGGTCTTTCAAAATATTCTCCATCACCTAACGCTCACAAAATAAGACATAAAATCATCCTCACAGAAGCTCTTCTTATGTCAGCAGACGTGCCAGATAACAGCTTGGTTGCCAAAGGGAAAGTGGTCGTTTCCCTAAGGAGGCAGATTTTTGCCAACCTAAGGGCATGGAAAAATACTGCTCCAGTCACTACTCGTGATTTTCCTCCACACCAATTCTGTTACACAATTAAAACATCCAATAAACTATACCAGTGACGAACAGATGACATGCCGAACACATTTTTTTTAAAGCCACTTTTCGGCGTTGCCATTCACCACAACATCTAAGCGTTTGTTTATGAATGCCGCTTCGCTCCCGTCTTCATAATAAGTGTGATCACCGTGGGACTCGGGTGTTTAAACCTCGCCATCGCAGCAGTTAGAGCCTCAGCGGGCAGCGTCCAGGGCCTCGGGGCCTCGGCTAATGAACACCTGTGGGTGTTTGCTTGAACCCCACACTAGCTCACGTACACACCTCAGGAACTTCCACAGCAGCCAATAATCCTGATCGACTGGCTGACTGAGAGGCTCTCGGTGTCTGCGTGAGCACAAGAGGTGGAACAGAGCCCCCCAAAATAGCTCTTTCTTTGGTGATTTATCTCCTCCTCTCAGCCGCCGCCTTTCCATCTTCATCCCTCTGCGCTCCTCTTCGTGTTATAGTGCGCTCTTTATTTAAACCTTTGGATTTTTGGCTAGTTCATTGGTTTTACATGAAATGTTCAACTTTTAAATTCATTGGTTTATTAAGATACGCCTGTTTCGAGCAGGTGATGTTGCTAGTTTTTTACCCGCTCACCACGATCCCGTGGGTCTGTCAGACTGTATCTCTCCCTCTCTGACTTTTCACTAAAATCCCTTAGCACGTCCCACTCACCGCTGAGTTTGAGACGTTGCAGGAAAACCACAGAAGACCAGAGGCGGTTTCATGTCACATACGGCGTGCTGCACCACAGCGGGATAGACTACCAGACTCCAATCCACACTGAGGCCTGTGTGCGAATGCATTCACAGTTTAGCCAAAGCTTTGATCCAAAAATGCCTCTGAGGGAGCGAACAGTACAGCCTGTTATGTTTTTATTTTTACTTTTCCCCCCACGGACAACATCATTTGTGCATTGCAGTGGGCGGCTGTTCAGCTACCAGGTGAAATCACAAGCGAAGCACAAATGAGCACAAAAGCTCGTTGGCGGGCTGTTTTTTGTGTTGTTGTTGTTTTTAAGAAATCAAAAAGAGCAGTTTTCTTTATGAACTTCTGAACGTACACCCTGCTTCTCAACGTTACGGACAAAGACATTAAAGACAAAAAATGTTCCCGTGCAGCGTGATGACAACAGGATCTGCTTAATCAAACCAGTGACTCATCTTTCCATCAGAGCCGAGCTCGCCTAGTGCGTCACCGCCTCACTTTGATCCTTTCACTCGGTTCAAGGATACACAGAAAGGTAGATTATACACTCTGCACGGGCAGATAAATAACAGCTGAGGCTTCACCTGCACACAAACAGCAGAGCACGAAGTTTGAAAAGAGACACGTGTCGGTGTGAGCAACTTTTATTCGGCGAGCGTAACATCAGCACAAGCTACGTGTTATTGTTTGTGCAGAAAGGGAACATGTGAGCTGCTGTCAGCTGAGAAGAGGCATCGACGAGCAGAGGAGGGTAGAAGCCTTTTTCAATTTCATAATATCCCAAAATTTCCAAGTTCACCTACAGTTGAAAATCCGAATCTTTTAACACATAAGCAAAAAGTAAAAAAGATAATCAGGATAAAAACAAGCAAACATAAACAGCACTTTATGAGGGGCATAATTCTGAGTTTTCTCACTGAGACTGACTCATCTCCTTAATAACAGGGTTATGTACTTATATCATCCTTTGGATCAGCTTCTAACGCACTGCTTGTTTTATTCCACATCCATGCTTTTACTTTTTTTAATGTAGTGACCACCTCAAAACTACTAAAATCATTTTTTTTAAAATTCTCCAGTCTTTAGCAATTACTAGATTTCTAAATCTTTATTTTTTTGCTCTTGCAGAAATTAAAAACTAAAAATAAAGCAACATTTGTATGCGTATGCATGTACTTCCTGTACAATCTGTTGATCTTTGGTTCAGGAAGCTTTCTAGTTTCGGTTTGTGTCCGAGTGCTACTGACCCATCACATTTTAACAGGCTTTAAATAAGCGTATCCACAGCTACGAGCAGAGGGCAGAACAGGAAGTCCCAATCGAGACAGCTGCGGCCGCTTATCTGGATATCTGGGCTACAGACTGTATGCAAAGGATGGCCAGTGAATGATCTCTTGCTCATTGACTCAATCAGCAGTTTCAAAACTGAATAAAATGCTGTCAAATCGCCCTGTTTGAGTCAAAAAAGGAGGCTGAATGTGTGCACACTCATTTGTCTTGATGCATGCTCAGTCATCCAGGTAAGTAAATCCCAAAAGGTTGATTCTGCTCATCACTTGTTTGACTGACAAAACGTTTCTCCGACTGAAAATGCTACGTCCAGAGAAACAGAATCAACGTTTTGGGATGCATTCATTGTTAACGAAGGTTCATTTTCAAGTTGTTAGCCAGCGACTGTGCAGTGTCCTCGGTTTCAGTCAGATCCACCTTTTGCTCTTTGTGTTCAGCTTCAAAAGGTCAAGGTGGGTAAATTAC